CGCTTTATTACTGGTATTTTCAGAGCGACTACCAAAACCTATCCAATTGATTACTTAACTTACACACTGTATCCTAATATTCTACATTGACACACTGAACCACCGCTTTTTCTATAGCGACACTTTCTTGCTCGCTATTCTACATCAAACAAATCGACATAGATGAATAGTCCATTCGATGGAAAAATCATATAAAGTTTCATTTCCTCCTCAAAATAAGTAATCATACGATCAATCAGCTCAGGATTGGATATAACTAATAAGGAGTCGAGGGTATTAAAAAAACGATTCTCTTATGCTTATTTTGTAAGAACTGGCAGTACTCGCTCCACTATATATGATATCACATACTGGTTAATGATGGAATCCCGTTTTCAAATCTTTCAATCTAGAATAAGTCTAAATTTCTAAAATAGAAAAAAGGAATTAGTCATATTGGAACCAAATTCATAATCGAGAAAGGTACGTACTTTCTTCCATAAAAATGTGAAAAAAAAACATTTTGTAAAATCTCGCTCCTATTAATAAATTTCTAGTCCAACACGGAACAGAACAATAGCGGCAATATACAGGATGGGCTAGAAGATCTTGCTGAATATTGCGGCTCACCCACGACCCGAAATTACGGAATATACAAGAATACAACCATCCTATATATCCTGTAGGCATTAATTGTGGATCCAAAGATAACAATAGAAAGTTCGAGTATATTTAGTTCCTATATTTTGTCTTTAAAATCATTGGTATATTTACGTTCAAATAATCGTATACAATCTAAATAATAGTAATCTCATCACAAAATCACTATTACAACAAAAAAACTATACATATATACAATAGAGGTCCCTCTGTATTAGGATCTTTGTCACTCGCGCTCCAATCCTTTAGTAACAGATTGCGCGAAGTTCTTTAATTTTTTGCAATTCATATTTACCAGAGACACGAACGTACAATTAGCTGGCATTAGACAAAGTACCATCGCTTGGAATTCACAAATCTAATCTCCTTCCATAACTCACACAGCAAAGCAGCTAGAGTTACAGACTCATTGCAGCCTTCACGGATAATCTTCATATACCCTCACAGCAAGATCACGTCCATTACGAGCTTGTAACACATGCATTTCTAGAACTTACTCGATTAGCTTACGCCACCAGGTTGATTTCCCAAGGGTCCCTACACAGTTCCTCCCACCGAATCTGTATACGAATCATCTCCACAAGATCTCCGTCAGACACGCGCACTATGCGCAAACGGAAATACCTCGGCCTGACACGCTACAGGCAAAACACCTGGTAGAGAGACCCAATCTGAGTGAAATAAAATCACGCCCGGCTTACGAATCTCTTTCAATTAAAAATTCATCACGCAGTAAATCAAACAAAAGCCCCATAAGTGCATGTCTCTTTCCCCTTTCAAGATTTACCGACCTTACACAGCGTACCAGACTGAATATGATCTCCACCCAGACAACGTAACGCCTTAGCTAGTACACGAACACAATGCTATACATCGACTTCTTCTGTCTATACCAATAACTGACATGCATTGCGCGTGTGAAATGTGAAGACCACGAAACCATTTATCACGGCGAAAATGAGCCAAGGAAGTATTTGTCGGTGAAGTCCCCCGTTAGAGATAGTCCATGCATTACGACCTCAGGAACATCCTAATTCGTCTGGCACTAATACAGCCCTTTGATCATTTCGTTCACACTGTACCCTGCAGTAGCATTCAAAAAATGTCCTTGATCTTCACCTGTTTCAGCCCTGTGTTTATTACAATTGCTTCGCGCACAATAAACTACAGAAAACGTCTCTCCAACGCCATAAAATCGGTGGGCAATTCACCTTCTCATCATCTTGTTCAAAATCAAGTCACCGGAAGACATTCCATAAAAAACCGCTCTACCATAAATCTTAGCCGGGATAGCCCCAACTTTAGGTTTCAACTAGACAAACCCAATAGGGGCGACCAATTTTACTCTAGTTCAATTTATCCTCTCTCACTTGTGATACCATGAGGCGGCCCCTTGGAAAAGGTTTCAGTATAAGCCCAGGAGGATTCGCAAATCCCCAGAGCTGGGCGCGCTAGGGCTTTGAACCACAATACTAACATTACCCACACATGAATTAACACTCGTATACAGAACCTTCTTCAAAAGGTCTAAGGGGTAAGCTACTCAAGCAATCATATGATTTTTCTCCAGCACGCGGCTTCGGATGTCGTAGCATCGTCCTTATAAAAAACGAATCAAGACTGGTAAAGCCCATCGGTCCACCCACAGTGTCACAAAGCTGTACCAGCTAGAAGATTCAGCAAGGCTACCGCAGCTCCTGCCTTCCTCAGCGGAACTCCAGTCTGAGGAGATTACTTCGGAATGCTCCAAGATATCAGTTATCTTTTTGATTCACTCAGGAGTATAATAAGTCAATTTTCATAATCTTTAACACCAGCCGTGATCCAACACTTGCTTTAGTCTCTGTTTGTGTACTAAGTCCCTCCCTACCAAAACTCATGAATCCTTAAGAAATCTCACAACACACAAGCGGTCTACTCGAGACATGAATCTACGAGTTATGAAACCTTCACAGGCGATCGTTATTCACAAAGTTATCAAACCAATAATATCGACTAAATCAGCAATTTTGTTATTAGACCATGGTATCCTTAGCATTCACCAACAAATACCAATCTACTCATTGCCCCTACACTATTTACTACTTTCCATCATATATGGCGGCGCAACCCAATTCCCTTGTTTTTCCAAGTTTCTCAATCATTAACTTTTGAATCGACAATATCTAAATAATAAAAATTTCCCTTCCTTGACACAGACTATATGTCTGAATTATGTAAACCCGAAATGTGAAAAATCTGCAGAATTCATCTAATGGAAAACAATCAATAATCAATAGCTAGCGAGGCGTAATCCATATGCTGAAAAGAAAATAAAAAAAATAGAAAAAAAAAAATAAGCCCATGAGCCATGAGATAGAAATAATAAATTCATAAATATAGAGTTCAGGTTCGAATTCCATAGTAAAATATGAATAGTATTATCATAATGATAAACAAATGAAAGCGTTCCCAAAGCCTTTTTGTTTTAATTCTATTCTTTTTATTTCTTGATTCATCCACTTAGTATTCTATATTTAAAAAATGGAAGAGTTAACTTGAAAATTCACTCATTAGAGAGCTTGAAAGTTAAGGGTAAACAATCGAATTGGGTTTGTTAGGATTGGCTATTCAACGAAAACTCGATACTTAAAACTCCCTTTTACTGAATTAATCATCAATTGCCGTCGAACATTAATTTTGACTAGAAAATTTTGAAAAAAAAAATTTCGACATATTTTTATTTTTATTTATTAATGAGCAAGCAATCCTACTACTTCTGATTCACCGAGTTCCCCGCGCTTGCGAAAAAAGAACCCTGGGCCCGCTATCGCTCCAATTCCATTGGCGCCAGTACTAGATTAGCTTTTCCACCGGGAAGATGCCTAAACTATTTACAAACGCGGCTGGTATTAAGGGTCTATGATACTGTCGGCAAGAAAATATGGACTTGCAAGCTTACAAACAATTATAAGGAAAATAATCGTCAGTATCGCTGTAGCTATGAGCGCTTCAACAGCATGGGTCCTACACGCGAGAATGCTGACAGTCGATTCGACAACCAGCGCAGCTCCTCTAAGTGATTCAGCTGATGGGCGACCTCTAGGCAACATACGACAACCAATTTCACACGTCGCTTTAGAGAACCTGTTACGATGGATTTAAGCGTCGCTGTATACAGATAACCCTCGCCGCAACACATTCACCCTATTCACTAGCATCTAGCCACCTCGCTTTTATACAATTATGATACCCCACAACTTACTCTCATTTTTTCGAAACACAGAATCTCAAATCAGTAGTCTTTTAGCCCTTATCCGACCGTGCGAGAAAAAAAATGACTACGGGAGCTGGAGTGGGTAAACAGATAAAACCCTCAGAACACACACCCCCGGTCACTAGTCAACCTCAACCAAAGACGCCAACAACACCATCCCAACCACAATGCCAACGCCTCACAGCGCCTCACACGGCCTCATACAACCTTGTATACATACTTCATAGCAACATGACACACCTCTCGTTCCTGATGGACCAACCCCCCAATCCCAAGACCGCCTATATCACAACCCATCCACCACATTCCCGCCATAGAAAACCATATGCCTATCATCCAGTCATACAAAACCCCCATCAGTCAATCGCAACTTGGATCTGGAGGTACTTATCTAGTGATATCTTAATTCAACAACATCAGCGAAAGCTCATGGAGGCTATCCGTAGTTTGCGGAGTAGGCAAACGGAACTCGTGAATGCATAATGGATCTTTTACTGAAATGAAGGAAATGAAAGAATCTGGAGTAATTAATGAACAAAATCTTGCGGAATCAAAAGTGGCTTTAGTCTACGGTCAGATGAATGAACCGCCAGGAGCTCGTATGAGAGTTGGATTGACTGCCCTAACTATGGCGGAATATTTCCGAGATGTTAATGAACAAGACGTACTTCTATTTATAGACAATATCTTCCGTTTTGTCCAAGCGGGATCCGAAGTATCTGCCTTATTGGGTAGAATGCCTTCCGCTGTGGGTTATCAACCCACCCTTAGTACCGAAATGGGTACTTTACAAGAAAGAATTACTTCTACCAAGGAGGGATCCATAACTTCTATTCAAGCAGTTTATGTACCTGCGGATGATTTGACCGACCCTGCCCCTGCCACAACATTTGCGCATTTAGATGCTACTACCGTACTATCAAGAGGATTAGCTGCCAAAGGTATTTATCCAGCGGTAGATCCTTTAGACTCAACGTCCACTATGCTCCAACCTCGAATCGTTGGTGAGGAACATTATGAAACTGCGCAAAGGGTTAAGCAAACCTTACAGCGTTACAAAGAACTTCAGGACATTCAAAGAACTGCAGGACACTTATAGCTATCCTTGGGCTGACGAATTATTCCGAAGAGATTCGTTTAACTGTAGCAAGAGCACGAAAATTGAGCGTTTCTCTATCACAAACCCTTTTCGTAGCAGAAGTATTTACCAGGTCTCGGGTTAAAATAAATCAAGAACATATAGCAAGAAACAAAAAAAATATAGAAGAAAGAATATATATATAATCACTAATAACAAAGAAGAAGAAGAATAGTCTACCACTAGAACCAACACATCTAATATATAGCTCAGTAATATTTATGAAAAATACGAACAACTATAGATAATGAGAAGAACATGACCTAAATACTTTGTACACCCCCAATACAGATATATTTGGAGATATCAGAGATGAAAGAATCAATAAATAATAATCTACATAAATAAATAAAGGCAAAAATATAGACAGATACAAAAATAATAACTATAATAGAAACAAGATAGAAACAGATAATCACAGAGATAATGAGAAATAACAGCATGACCATAGATATAACAATAAGAAGACCTAACTAATGAAGAATAGAAAATATTAGAATAGAATAGGCAATAATAAAGAATTACAGAATTAAAAGATAAAATAATGCAGAGAAGAGGAAATAAAGTGACCAATAATAGAATCCACAAGCAAAAGATCACAGCAAAATCATAAAAGAAAGAAGATAATACTATAAGAGAAAAAGACGAAGGAAAGAAGAGACAAATTGACAAGACAAATAGACTCCAGGACGGAGCTAAAAGGCAACAGAGTAGAAGCTATAACAAAAAAAACTTATAATTACGATAACACTATAAACTAAATTGGTACGTTCCACGAATAAAATCAAAAGACTACTAGATAATAAAAACAGGAATACAAAGATATTGTATCAAGTATTTATAAAATACACAATATATATATATATATATTGAAATAAATCATTAAGATAGAATTCAAGATAACTATAATAACAACAGAGAAAAATTTATTACAATTACAAAGAATGATTCAAAAGAATGGAACGAAAAAGAAAATCAATAAATAAAAGAGTAAAAAAATAAGGTGAGATAAAAAACATATTCTCTTAGAATAAACAATGGGATTCTAGAATAATCTAAAATAGTGTCTACTACTATTAGAGAATATTAAACATAAATAACTCCCGCACTAATGGAAGAGCAATAACTACATAAAAACACTGAGTATAAGAGGTCACAATTTATCATCACAAGAAAGAAAATGGAATCACAATAACCACATCAGATGGATATTTAAAATTGGAAGAATTAATCATATAAAGCAAATACGAACAAAGAGATCACATAGGATGAATATAGATAACAAATATATACATATAGAACAGAATATATATAGAAAATAGGTAATACACAAACAACAAGGCATAGCTCCACGTTTAGGTAGAGGCCACTCGAATTACACGAACGCGCACTGTTTATTTCAAAAGAAGTCCAATCATGTAATCAAAAGGACTTCATGAGAGGAAGTCGATGCTCTTACATCCATGAATTATTAGGGAACAAAAAGAACAATAAGCCTGACACAAAAGAGTCGAATACCAATAGTGACCATTAGACGCCGAACACAGAAATCCTCAATTGATTAGCCATATGATAGGTGAAATTAAACCCAGTTAATTACAATGTAAGATATAGAATAAGACCTCAAAAAAATTCTCTTTTCGTCCATCCTATGAACTTTAAGGCTGTATGAGTTTCATCTATTTGTTTCTTAAGCAGAAGCGGGCGTGGAGATTCCATTAACTTAGGGTTAATTTAAGCAAAGCAGACCTACGTCAGGACTAACCTTTCTTGAAACACCTTTGGTAGTGCTCTTTCGGATCGGAATCCATAAATCAGAGGCACCAATGAGCCATCTTCCTTGATCTTCATGCAAGAGAATATGGTGACTAACTTTGATTTTTAGCATCAGTTAAATGAACGAGCCATGCCAGAAAAAAAATGCAGTTGGTCTTTGAAAAAGTTCGAATCATTTTGATAATAATTCAGTTTGATCTGTTTTACCGCAGAAGTCTACGTTCGAGTCCGTTATAGCCTTAAAAAAAAAATTAGAATTAAATCATAGAATTCCTATATAAATTATATTATATTAATATTTAATTTAAAATATTTAATTTAATTATCATTTAAATATATTTATATTATATTTTCATTTTATATTTTATATTAATTTTATATTAATATATTTTATATTAGATTTTATATAAAATTAATTATATATATATATATAAATAATTACGAAATAATTAAATATATAAATAAGAATTATATATAAATAAAAATTATATATAAATAAGAATATAATTATATATAAATAATAATTATAATTAAATATATAATTTAAATATAATTTAAATAATCCATAATAAACCATAATCAGAGAATAACTAGAAGGGTATATCAAGAATATATAAATAGGAAATAAGAATATTCTAATTTACAATATTATGTTAACAATATGTAATGTAAATAAATAAAAATATATGAAATAAATAAAAATTCAATTCTTCAATTTAAATATTCCATTTGATTCCATTTGATTGAATTTCCTGTTTTATTTTTCTTATTTTCTAATAAAATGAAAAATTACTATAGAATTTGAAAATAGAAAAAAAAAAAAAAAAAATAGTAATGCCACAACTGATGCTGGAGAGATTACCCTTAAGATCTCAAGCACCAGAATACGATGCCATAATGGCAGATCAAGAATTTTTTTTTTTTTTTTTACTATCGGTATTCGAATTCTAGTACTAGGGACCACTTAATCCAGTTTAAGATTTAGTCACAGTTAAGATTCATTGATATCGAAAAAAAATTTGAAAATCAAAGTAAACGTAATGGAAAAATTATAGTCGATGAATCTTGAAACGAAACATGTACCGAAGCAAACAAAGAAAACTAGGTGGTTGAATCAAAATAAATTGTTATTTTGACTAACCCGTTATGGATGAGTTAGGAATTAATTCTAATTCGACTCAACTAATTTAGTATATTTTCCACATTCAAGTATTTGCCCCAAGGAAGAATCCTAGAATTCCGTCTCTTTTTCTGGGTTTGGAAAAGTGCGGATTTTCAAGAAAGGGAATCTTATGATATGCTGGGAATAATCATATATTCTAGTCATAAAAACTTCAAAACTGTTAAGCAACATTCCCACACTGCTTTCACCAAGAGTGTCTAAAATGGTGCTTTTCTAGGAACGCAGTTTCAACCTCAAAAATCAAAATAATCCATGAAACTTTCAAAACCTAGTTTTTGTTGTTTTTGATGTTGAAACGGTTTTTCTTTATCCATGGGCAATGAGTTTCGATGTATTGGGGGTACCCGTATTCATAGAAGCTTTCATTTTCGTGCTTATCCTAATTGTTGGTTCAGTTTATGCATGGCGAAAAGGAGCATTGGAATGGTCTTAGTTCCTGAATATTCAGATAATAAAAAGAAAGAAAAAAGTCAAAATAATAATAACATTGAGTATGAATTCCATCGAATTTCCCTTACTTGATCGAACAACCCAAAATTCAGTTATTTCAACTACATTAAATGATCTTTCAAATTGGTCAAGACTCTCCAGTTTATGGCCGCTTCTTTATGGTACCAGTTGTTGCTTTATTGAATTTGCTTCATTAATAGGCTCACGCTTCGACTTTGATCGTTATGGGCTGGTACCAAGATCGAGTCCTAGACAGGCAGACCTAATTTTAACAGCTGGAACAGTAACAATGAAAATGGCGCCCTCTTTAGTGAGATTATATGAACAAATGCCCGAACCTAAATATGTTATTGCTATGGGCGCGTGTACAATTACAGGAGGGATGTTCAGTACTGATTCTTATAGTACTGTTCGGGGGGTCGATAAGCTAATTCCCGTGGATGTCTATTTGCCGGGCTGTCCCCCTAAACCCGAGGCAGTTATAGATGCTATAACAAAACTTCGTAAGAAAATATCTCGCGAAATCTATGAAGATCGAATTAGATCTCAACAGGGGGATCGGTGTTTTACTACCAATCACAAGTTTTGTCTTGTACGCAGTACTCGTACTGGAAATTATAATCAAGGATTGCTCTATCAACCACCATCTACTTCAGAGATTCCTCCTGAAACATTTTTCAACTACAAGGGTTCACTATCTTCCCACGAATTAGTAAATTAGGTAGGATTTTTTTTTTTTACAGAAACAGACAACGAATTAATCTTCATAAATTCGATTTCATCATAAATGCGAAATACTTATCTTATAAAAATGACAAATAAAAAAGAAAAGTGCGGGAGAGATAAAAAGATGCAGGGTCGTTTGTCTGTTTGGCTAGTCAAACACGGGCTAGTTCATAGATCTTTGGGCTTCGATTACCAAGGAATAGAGACTTTACAAATAAAGCCTGAGGATTGGCATTCCATTGCTGTTATTTTATATGTATATGGTTACAATTATCTACGTTCCCAATGTGCCTATGATGTAGCACCAGGCGGACTGTTAGCCAGTGTGTATCATCTTACGAGAATAGAGTATCATGACTATCAATAAGTTCCAAACAGACTATCCTAACATTATACCTGAAAACATGACGGAAAACTACTTTCTATTAGTTCTACATATGTTTTTAATCAACAGCACAAGCTTTAATATCAAAATCTTACATACGAGAATAGAGTATGGTGTAGATCAACCGGAAGAGGTATGTATAAAAGTATTTGCTCCAAGGAGTAACCCTAGAATTCCGTCTGTTTTCTGGGTTTGGAAAAGTTCGGATTTTCAAGAACGAGAATCTTATGACATGTTGGGAATCTCTTATGAAAATCATCCACGACTGAAACGTATCTTAATGCCCGAAAGTTGGATAGGGTGGCCTTTACGTAAGGATTACATTGCCCCCAATTTTTATGAAATACAAGACGCTCATTGAATGATAAGAAACTAATTACAACTTCGAATATTCAAGGAATATTTGTACATTCTCTTCTAGCTCAAACAGAGGAATTGAGGTTTCATTCGTATTCTTATGGATAGGCTAATAAATAAAAAGAAATAAAAGACAATACATCATTGAGATTCTCGATTTTTGAAGAGACTTTTTTATTTATATTTATTTTATTTCGGACGAGCCGAGACAATAGGATGAACAACAAGGGTTCTGTACCGTGAACTTTGTATCGCGCACATCACTTAGATGAACTCTAGAGAGTCGCATAGAAGGGAATGAAGAAATGGAATATGAAAGAGAATACAAAGAAATAAATGAAAGGGGATCGGCTTCTATTTGTACTGTAGCTGAGATGAGTCTTGGTTATTTCTATCCTTGAACTCCTCTAGACCCGACTTTTTGTTGGGCCTTTCAACCAACTATTTTTATTTTAATCTTTTAATTAAATATGTATGAAGTATTACCATTCTTTTTGAATGTGAGAAGCCGCAGTGTGAACAAATAAAAAAGAAGAGGAAAGATAAGCAAATTTTGTCTTTTACTACATTATAATAGACACATTAGAATAGACTCTTTGCTCATTTTAAAAAGAGAAAAAAATACAAAATAAAATAAATAAAGAGAGGGTTTACTCTCAGATACCTAGCTAGATAAGTATGTATTATGTCGATCCATATCAATTAATTTGTAGAGTAGATACTCATACAAATTAATCATATGCCAGGAACCAGATTTGAACTGGTGACACGAGGATTTTCAGTCCTCTGCTCTACCAACTGAGCTATCCCGACCATTACCGACGCATTATCCTCATAATACTAGATGACTTGGGTCTATGTCAATTAAAAATGAAAACAAAAAAAACGAAAAAGTATTAAATTAAAAGTCTCGAACAGGAATTTCTTGGATCTTCAAAAGGAAGACTTTGTAAATTTCCATATGAGTAATCATATGTATTATGAATCATTCAAATAGGTATTCCTTGCTCAAGAGATTTCTACGTATATCATATATATATCACATCACACTATATCACAAGACTTGTGATAAGAGAACAAAATTCTGCTATGCTAGGATACGCTTGTAAAACGGCAAAGAATAGGATGAATGAGAAACATGAGGAACTTTGAACCACTAACAAAAAGGGTAGGATAAAATAAATAGACAGCAAACGGGCTTTTTGGGGTTGGGGATAGAGGGACTTGAACCCTCACGATTTTTAAAGTCGACGGATTTTCCTCTTACTATAAATTTCATTGTTGTCGGTATTGATATTGACATGTAGAACGGGACTCTATCTTTATTCTCGTCCGATTAATCAGTTTTTCAAAAGATTTATCAGACTATGGAGTGAATGATTTGATTAATGACTATTCTATTCGATTCTTTCTTCAACTTGGAATCGATTCACAACAATTCTTTTTATTTTTCATATTTTCATATAAATTGATATTGCATATAATAGAAATAAAAAAAAATACGGGTTCGGTTCGTCTTTTTTGAGATAGTTTTTCATTAGTATACCTATAAAAAAAATAGGTATATCTTGCATCCTTTCTAGAGTTTCGATATTCGATATAAGGATTCCTTTACCAACAGTCAACCCCATTTGTTAGAATAGCTTCCATTGAGTCTCTGCACCTATCCTTTCCTTTTTTTCTTATTCTCGCTTGCTGAACCTTTGTTCATGTTTATTTTCGTAAAATAATAAAATAATAGGATTTGGCTCAGGATTGCCCATTTTTCATTCCAGGGTTTCTCTGAATTTGAAAGTTATCACTTAGTAGGTTTCCATACCAAGGCTCAATCCAATTAAGGATCATAATATGCAACTACAATTTCGCCATATCCCCTTTTTGTTTTGAGATTAAGATTTTATTACTATACCATTCTCATTTATATTCTACTGGAACTGTTGAAGTCATCAGGTATTATCTCACATCTGATACACCTGAGTCCAAAAGCTTCCAAAATTGTTTCCTATCTGACTCCTAGTTATCACAAAACAGAGAAGGATATGCACCTATAATCATACATTTACAGAATGCTAATAAATATATGATAACCAAAAAACAAAAAAAAATATATCAGCTTATAAACAGCCTCTATACGTAGCAGGCACAAAACAAGAGGGTAAGGCAAGTTCAATTCATCCTTCTTCTGTTTTGTCCAATAAAGTTGAAAGTCTTATGTCGATAATGGCTGACACGGCAGCAGTTATTTATGTTCATTTAGAGTATTTCAACCTAACATGTAACAAAAACACAGATCAGTTTAACAACTTATATTTTCCACTTTAAAATCTATAGTTTTTGACAGAGTTTCAAAATATAGCACATCCATCAATGTGTTTCCTAAATAGTATTATCAAATCTCCTATAATCCATAGCTCATTGATTCTCAGTTCAATATCTAACAAAAATATATAAACACAGCAGAATCATAATATTTTGAAACATATTTTACATACATCATTCACAACATTTTTTTAAATAATTCACTACAGTTGAAATCCAGCTATACATCTCATTCTGGGAATAACACATTCTGCACACCCACCGAGGAGACAAAACCAAATAACTGATGTTACCTCATTCTCCGGATGTAATCGTGACTGAAATATTATTAATATGGTCTGTAAGGTCTTCAGTTGAACACTCTCATCTCCCATTTCAGCATGCTGCATGGAAGGGAAAATGACACAAAAGATTCTGTAAATTATCTAATTGCTTAATAAGAGAATAAAATGATCTTACATAATTGAATTCAAATGTTTCTGCCCAAAAATGAGAAGAAAATAATCTAACTACATCACCAAAAATGTCTACATAGAGAACATATCCTAACCTATACTTACTTGAAATGAATGTGTGCTTACAATAACTATTCAAATGCAGTAGGAATTATGTAAATTTATCTTTTTCATATTGTTGGGAGATGTAAGCAATAATTTTGTCCCACTAACCAATTGGAAACAATGGAAAACCATTTAAAAGAAAAGATTTCAAATCATAGATAGCCCTTCATGAGGAAGATTAGTGAAACAAAAGTGTGGTAACAAACCAAAAACCAATTAGAGACCAGAATAAAAGTCATCCGATTCATTCCATGGTTTGCAAAAAAACAGAATGTCCGACAGAACAGTTCATATGAACTGAAAGAGATCCCCAAGTCGTGTGGGGAACTGCAAGAGGAAAAGTTGAATTAAAAACAGAAAATAAGTTCTGCCTCTTCATAATACTGGTTTTCTTTCTTCCATGGAAAAAAAAAAAAAAAAAAAAAAAAAAAAAAAAAAAAAAAAGTTCGATAAGACGTGGCAGAGAATGGTTTGAGAGTTTGGTCTTATTCAATCAGATCGGAAGGAATCTCTAGCCTGAGTCTCAAACTCTGGTATGTAAGGGAGAAGTGTAACTCGTTGGTTTGAAAATAAATGAATTGCTTGTCGTAGAATATTATTCTCGTCAGACTTAAACCTAACTAAAATAACAAAACAAGGGTTCTGCCCCCTTTTCACCTGAGTTAAGGTTAAGTAAAGGAAGACAGGGGAATGGGTTTGATTCGGAGATTTTTCTCCTATTCATGTATGATAGATACGTAAGGAGATTTTCATCCCCTGTATGCTATTTTACGCATTCCATATTAAAAAGGAATTGGGAATAGAGAATCTATACTAAAGAAGGGTCTAATTCTTTAGTATATGTTCTTATTTGATACATTGTAGTCAGTTACATTGGCGAATTAGGTGAAGGTGCGGAAAGAGAGGGATTCGAACCCTCGGTAAACAAGAGTCTACATAGCAGTTCCAATGCTACGCCTTGAACCACTCGGCCATCTCTCCTACATAATTATTATGGCCGATACCCCGAGCGAATAGCGAGTTACTCATATTAGATTGTTCGATAGGTACGAACAATATCAATTCTAACTAGGAAACTTGCTATAAAAATAGAAAACTTTTCATCACTTTTTTTTTATCACTTTTTCTTTAGCCTCCGGGCTCGAAGAATTTTTAAAAAATGGAATGGGTCTACTTTTATGTTATTTCGTACTGTACACTTCCTTTGTTTGTGAGATTATTTTCTCACGAGGGGTAATGAAAAGAGTTATAGAATGGATTGCTACCTATGCCTAGATCGCAGATAAATGGAAATTTTATTGATAAGACCTTTTCAATTGTAGCCAATATCTTATTACGAATAATTCCGACAACTTCAGGAGAAAAAGAGGCATTTACTTATTACAGATGGTGTGATTTGATTTTTTTTTTATTTACCACCTCAAGTCTTAGGAGAAAGACACATTAGTCGGGATAGAAAGATTTGAAATAACTCTACGCTTGTTGAAGGTGAAGTTTATCGATTTATAAATAAAAAATCCCTTCGTCGGGTTATTTTATTTTTAAATATTTTGAAAATAACAATATAGGCTTAGGCCTAATATGATCTTTTCGGGCTAAATACGATCCATCCTATGTAGGCCCATAAGGAAAATTTCAAATTTTTAATTTCATTAATTTTCTCTTTTTATTTTATTTTTAAATATTTTGAAAATAAAATTACGGCCCTGTCAGGTAAGCGAATCAGAATACTTGCTTAGCGTTAACTTTTTGGATTTCTATCTATTTCGTATATTTCTTCAATCATAAAATAAAATATATGTAAAAATTGTGATAATTAGTGTAAGTTATTTCTTTTTAAAAATTATTTGATAGTTAAATACCAAAATTTTTTTCTTTGAAAGGAAAAACTCCAAAATCTAAAATATAAAAATCAATCTTTTTATAAACTTAATAATTTTTATAATAAAAAATAGTGAAATAAAAAATACATAAAGTAAATTTTTTTTTCCGTGAAAAAGTATATAAAAAATTGAGTAAACAATAAATAGTCATCATATCAATAAAATTAAAAATTATATCAACAAAATTAATTTAAATAAAAAAAAAAAGTTAAATACAAAACCCACGCGAGTTTGGTTCAGATCAATTCAATAATTTTCAAATCAAATTTATTGGATTTGCATAATTTAAAAACCAAAGAAAACCCAAACAAAACTGAATGGGTTGAGTGGAAAGGAATTGATGTAAAAAATTTTCAATAAACTTTGGCTTGAAATCATTGGGTTCGATTTTTTTTTTTTTTTTCCAAATTCACTACATTAACATGTTTTTCCGAGAGAATATGTAAGCTACACAACACAAAGTAACCATCTCTTTTAAATAGCATTCATTAAATTAATTATAATTTTTATTATAGAGATGACTCAAATTCACTTTTTTAAATTCAGATGTATTTATGAATGCAGGTTGAATTATTTTTTAATGCATTATTCATTCAGTAATTCCATAAATTTGCGAAGTAAAAATTATAGTAAGAAGTAAATTAATAAGAGGAGAAAATAACCAAGTTACCTTAATACCAATTTAGGTAAATTCACCGTGATATAAGTGTCTTGGCATTGCCATTTCAGTGTAAGAGGCTCCAATCTGCATGCAGCTGCGGAAAGAATAATGGTTCGTAGGGATGCCAAATTTATAAGCACAGTCTTCTTGCAATTGAACCTCTACTCCTAGTTTCCACATGTATAAAAAGAAGCTGCATTTAAAACCCGACAATTTAATGAGTGGATTCACAAAAATTCAGTAAGAAAAAAAAAAATAAATATAACGCAGAATTTTTATGTGATTCGACCAAATTCACGTATACACATCCACAGATAATTATTTCATTATGTTACAATAAAAATAATACTTACAAAATATTGTAATTTTCTTTCCAATAATTCTCCATTCAATGTCTCACAATATTTGATATCTCCTATAAACACACACCAAAGAATTGCTATCATCCGAGAGTAAGTACTACACTCAAACCTAATGTTTAAGCAAACCTCACTGAAACTTTCACCTCTAAATCCTTAGAATAAATATCCAACACTATATCTTACTCTCAATAAACCCAGTGTTTCACCATCTTTACTGAATCATAGGAGAAGAAGACGGTGATGAGCATGGAAAAGAAGCAAACTTGATAAAGATACGGATAATAATTTAGTAATTTTATATCAAAAAACAAGAATTTTTCTTAAAACCACTTATTTTTTCCAGTTTGGAGAGATTATTTGAGTAGAGATTTTTTATTCTCCCAATAAAGTGCACCTCCCAGTAATCAAAGTTGTATTTTCATCATTCTCTCAGTCAAACACGTTATAATAGTGGTGGTAGAGATTATAACTTTGGAAGCCCGAGTGAATTTTACCTGTTATAATTAATTGTTTGATATCCCTATCAGCAGATCCTTTCTCTGGGAAGAACCAATCAAAGAATTTGGTGAATTTCATTATACCCATTCGAATTCTAAAATCGTCCCTTTTCATCTGGTATTTCATAGGAATAAAATATAAATAGTAGAGAATGTAGCCATTTTCCTCAACATTTCCAAACACGAGAAAGTTAATTATTTTCCATCTCCATTTTCATCCGTCCCATAAAAATCACTTACTTCCCAAATAGTGTAAAATTTAATTATCATGTGGCTGAAAAGGAAATTCTCCAAAAAGCAATACCGGTGTTCGAACCTTCGCTGATGAGCTCCTTTGCTAAGCTTCCAAACCATTTTGCTACCCCTGCACTACTGCGAAGCTTCCAAATCCCTTTATAATTCGTCGCTTCACCCCTAATGATTATCAATACTTAACCATCCGTCTGGTAGTGATTATTACTTTGTAGGCCCGGGTGAATTTTATATGTTATTTTCCTTCTCTAGCCATTTTCCTCAACATTTCCAAACACGGAAAAGTAACCTTTTCTAATTATTTTCCATCTCCATTTTCATCCCTCCCATAAAAATTCACTTCTTCCAAAATAGTTTAAAATTTAATTATCAGTGCCGAAGTCATGTCACGTGGTTGAAAAAGAAAATTCTCAAGAAAGCAATACTGGCTCTACCTCTACGAAACTTCGACTAATAAACTCTTTGGCTAAGCTTTCAAACCCCTTTGCTTCCCCCGCAATTCCTGGCTTCACCTGTAATGATTATCAATGCTTAACAAAGTGCTTTTTAATGGATGAACTTTATTCATCGATAATGATGGGATGTCAGAAACTATTGTTGCTGTTTCGTACTTCTTTCATCGCGGGTGAGAGTTTTTTATTAACTTTTAAATTTTTTATATACTCTGATAAATGAATTTAAAATATAAAATTTATTTATAAATTAATGAATTTAAAATTATAAATTTATTTATAAATTATTTTTTTTTGAAATAATATTTTATTAAATTATATTTGAATATAATTTAAGGTTATAATTTATTTATGAATAATTATTTATATTCTGTATAATTAATTTAAAACATATAATTCAATTGAATTCGCTAATTATATATAAAATAAATTAATAATTGAAATTCTTTTACTTTTATTTTTTAAAGGGAAAAATAATTATTTCGTCTCTAAGATTTGCCATAATTATTTAAAATAGTCCCGGATATTTATATAAATATTTATAACGTCAGATTCATTTCCGTCATATTAATTCATCATTCCGTCTAAAAAATACACTTTTTTCTCTAATTTTCGAAGAAAAAGATGAAATTATCCTTTGAAAAAACAATTATTTCATCCCTGAGATTTGTCATAATTATTTAAATAGTCCCCGACATTTATACAAATATTTATAACGTCCCTGAAGTTTACTTCCGTCATATTAATTGGCCCTTCTGTCAATCTCTTTCCTCTAAAATACCTAAAACTCAAATTATCACCATCTTCCTCAACCCAACGCGGTCTTTATTGCCACTACCGTATCTCTATCAACTATCGTCTCCATAACCAAATCACGACCAAAATTTCAAAATTAATGAAAAAAAGTGTATTTTTTGGACGGAATTTAATTTGATAAAAGTAAACCTCAGAAACGTTATAAATAATTATATAAATGTCGGGAACTACTTAAATAATTATGTCCAACCTCAGGGACGAAATAATTATTTTTCCTTTTTTAAAATATCTTTAAAATAATAATTTCAAAAAAATAAATAATAAATATCAATTATATTTAAAAAAATAAATAATAAATATCAATTATATTTATACTATGCTATATAATTTTTTTATATTTTTATTGAAAGAAATATATAAAATAAAAATAATATTAATAAAATTATTACATTTAATTTAATGATAAATATATATTTAATTTAAATCTTTTTCACTACTTAATAGTAAAGAAATATTAAAAAATATTAAAATAAAAAATACAATAAACAAGAAAATATTTTTCTTAAAAAATTTTAATAATTTTGATCAAATTTTATAAAATAAATAAGTTAAATAAATAAAAAATTAAAAAATAACTTTGTAAAAGGAGATCCGTAATTTTTTCATAAAAAATTAGATTATTTTACGGAATTGATTTTGATATTTCATCTATTTTTATAAAATTTTGATAAAATTTAGTTTAACATCTCAATAATAAAAATCTACAAAATATTGCGTAGAATTTACCTTTTTCTGAAGCATCTTCAGGTGTAGAAGTCATCGCTGAAGGAAGCTTGTCGGGTAGTGCTGATCTGGTGAATTGACCTTCTTTGTTAGAAGGATAGAGGAGTATGGAAGTCTTTAAACTCAAACTACCATGTCTGAAAATGATAAAAAAGGAAAAAACTTTCAGTGATGGGATTAACGTTTCAATCGTTTAAATAAGGTAGATGATATTAGATGAAAAATAAAGTAGGCCCAGCTAGATAAATTCTACAGAAAAAAATAAGATAAATCAAGATAAAAAGAAAAGATATATCTGAGAGAAGGAGATATTGTAGGAAAGTAATTTTTTTAAAACATAAAACAGAATCTCATACGTTACAATTTGTGGTTTTGTAAACTTTAATTTTTGTTTGCTAATTCTTCTTCAAAAAAATAAGAGAAAAAAAAAACTGATAGTTAAGTAAAAAACTTATATGAAAACAAACTGCAAATAAATTGCTTTCAAAAAGAAAAAAAAAATTCTTATCAGCCAAGAAATATCTTTGGATAGAAAGAAGAAATCATAAAGAAGAAAATATGGTCCCTTATTCAATGAAATCATAAAGAATTTATCTCAACCGGCCAATAAGAGATATAAAGCAGCATTACCATCTCTGTTTCTTTTGCATACGGTGAGAATAACATCTCCGGCCAGGAGCCAAGCTAGGATTTAAAAGTTATCACATACCTCCGGCGACGAGCAAAGCTGTAATGTAATTAAGAAAGGAATGGAAGGGTCTAAATGAGGAAACATTATAAATGGGGCAAACTTGTGAAAGGATTGGTAGTTAAAGATAAATATAGTTTAGTGGAAATAATGTGATAAGGAAGGGATGAAAGAGCTAAATGGAAACACATTATTGTGGGAATAATGTCTTCCCACTTTATTTCTTTTTTTTATTTATTTAAATAGCATGAATGTAATCAAACGATATCGGTTATATAATATTTGTTACATTAAAGAAAATAATTTATTTATTTATAATTTTAACGAGTAATAAAACTTTTTTCCATATTTATTCTTATATTTGGCCAATAATTATTTAGTGTTTGGAAGTATTAAATTAAGAATAATATAATCAATTTACTCAATAATTTATTATAATTTAGATAAATTTAATAATTTTTTTCGGGACATGAAATACTAAATGTATTAAGTATTATCAAATAACGTATAATAAAATAGTTAAATGGTAAAGTTACTGTTGTGGCAACGGTAACTACTCATGCTTATATATACAATAATAATACTCATTTTGTCTCAAAAAGATACTCCACTTTTTTATTTTCACACATATTAAGAAGTTAGCAATTATTATAGCTTATGGATAATATTATTCATATAACTTTTCTACTATATGCATCTTAAATAACACATGAGCAAATATTATATTAGACAATTTAAAAATTTTAATAAGAGTTAAAATTTTAATAAATGTATAATAGATAATTTAAAAATTAACTATAACACAGTATTCCGAAGTAAAGATGCTGATGTAAAAAGACAATATTCCAAAGTAAAACTAATATTTTCTCGTGTACCTAATAAGTCTTTTTCAAATATCAAAGTCTTTGGTGTCGTTTACCTAAATTTTTTTCATTCATAGAAAAATGAAGCAGGTGGGGTCCATTTATTTTTAAAATAATTTCACTTTGTACGAGAAAAAGAATATTAGGAAAAGTAATTTAGAAGGATTTTTTTTTGCCGGCAATCAAATCAGTTTTATTAAATAAAAATAATAATGAAAAATTTATTAAATTTGAATGAAACTAAATCTATATCAGTAGATTTTTTTTGAATACAGCTAAAAAATTTTGTCCATAACTGATAAGAAAAATATATATACAGAGAACTTTTTCTAAGGTAAAAGTTGAAAACTAAAAAAGAGCAATATATTACCGTAACATTTACTTTTTATTTATAAACATTGAATATTAAATATTTTGAAGAGAGAAAAATAATTTGTTGTGAGTTTGTCATGTGATACTTTTTCTTCACAAATTTTAATTTTGTTGAAAGATCAGTGAAGTTTAAGTTTGAAAGTTTTAGAGTATAAAAATTTATTGATATCAATTTTAATTTGTGAGTAAAAAGGAAAATTGAATTTATATTCTTAGTCGGAAAAGGTGTTAGAATATTATTATTACTAGTCGTGAAAGGAACACGCAAATCTCGCAGCATTGATTCTTTCCACGAATAACGATAATTTTTTGTGTCTTATTTCCAATTGTTTGACAGATCTGTAGTCATTGCATTGAAAAGAAAACGCAGTGAACAAAGGAGGAGAGGGCTGTCGCGCGCAGGAGGAAGAAGAAGGAGAAGAGAAAAGAAAAACGGAAGAAAAAGATGATTCTAGAGAACTCTGGGCCATTCCGATTCGATTTGAACCGGTTTGGTTCAAATCAACAGTTTGGTCCGATTTTGCTTGGTTTACTGGATTTTCACTCTGTTTTCAAAAAATCAAAACTGATTTATGAGTCCGGTTTAGTAATAATAAAATATTTTTCTGTTAATTTCATTGGTTAGGTTTTATGATTAAATTTTTAAATGAAAAATTTTTGAAAATAAATTTTCGGGTTGTTTCACTTGTACATCCACCTTTATACGGTAAAGATCAAAGTTTAGTATTGTATCTATTTATCTGTAAGTAATTTACTCATTATAATTTTATAACTCATTATTTTGAGTAAAAATTAATATTTTATATTTAATATCTCAATTAAAGAAAAAGATGACTCTAGAGAACTCTGGGCCATTCCGATTCGATTTGAACCGGTTTGGTTCAAATCAACAGTTTGGCCTGATTTTGCTTGGTTTACTGGATTTTTACTCTGTTTTCCAAAAATCAAAACTGATCTATGCGTCGGGTTTAATAATAATAAAATATTTTTCCGTTAATTTTATTGATTAGGTTTTATGATTAAATTTTTAAATGAAAAATTTTTGAAAATAAATTTTCGAGTTGTTTAACATGTATATCCACCTTTATACAGTAAAGATCAAAATTTAGTGTTGTATCTATTTATCTGTAAGTAATTTACTCATTATAATTTTATAACTCATTATTTTGAGTAAAAATTAATATTTTATATTTAATATCTCAATTAAAGTGTTGTATCATTTATCTGTAAGGTTAATTTAACTCATTATAATTTTATAACTCTATTATTTTGAGTAAAATTAATATTTTATTATAATTTTATAACTCATTATTTTGAGTAAAAATTAATATTTTATATTTAATATCTCAATTAAAATTTTTAATATGAATGTATATTTAATATTTTTATTGTTGAAATTTTAATTTGAATATAGAACATGTCATAAATATGTAAACGTTCATAGACATTATTATTTGTTGATTTAAATAAGTTATCAAATATTATTATTTTCTTGATTGAACTAATAAAAGACTAAAAATATTATTCTAAAAATAATATTAGTAGAGCTTTATATAAGTTTATAATATTAATCTTTAATTTGCTTAAAAAAATTATTATAAACATTTAATTATTAATATTTGATGGATAATTATTTATTATAAATACACATATTGCTACTATTATTAGATTGTACACATATTATTTATGTGCCATTACAGTTGCCAGAAACAGAGGAGGTATCTCCTCCACCCAAATTTGCTCCTCAATCTAAGTAAAGAAAGCATGTTTAGCTAAACTATGAGCTACCTTATTGCATGTTCAGAAAAATAATTGTAAACATATAATATATAATACAATTATTTTTAATTATTTTTAATATTTTTGTTTGCTCCATGTATATAGGATGTGAAGAGTCTTTCTTTTTTATTAGCTTTTTAATTGTTTCATTCTAACATTTTTGTAATTTATAGAAAAATTATTTTCATTGTTTTAATGAGTAATTATTTAACCTATAAAAACAATCAATTTATTAAGTTTAAATAATCTTAATTGAAAATCAGGTTGATAAGTAATTTTTGAAATAATATTATTTTTGTCGCTGTCATTATGGTATGTCTATTCATTAAATAAAATTAAAAGGTTAAGCTTACCTATAAATTATGCGATTTTTCCTTTGAAAAAAAATAAAAAATTATGCCATTTTTTTAACATGACTTCACGTTGTGGTTACTGGAGTTTTGAGATTCATTCATCAGGACAAGCGCGTGTAAAAGAAGTGAAAGCTTTGCAACCAGCAAAAATCTTACCAAAAAAACAGCAACGTGGTAATCATCGAAGGGTTATCGCCTTCTTTTATTTTATTTTTTAATTTCATTCAAATACAAAACCTTTCTATGCAGTGGCGTATTTTAAAAAATTCATAGCCGGCCCAATTAAATAATATAATTTATAAAAATAATAAATTTACTAGAGTCTAACAAACAACAAATTTTGCCTTCTTTTGTTTTTCAAAATGTCAAATTTACTTTCAATTTATAGTTCATTTCTGTTAAACTAATAAATTCTTCCATCTAAAATAGATATTTTTATTATTAATTTCGATGAAAAAGATTAAATTAACATTTATCTATTTTTATTTTACTTTTTATTATTAATTTCGATGAAAAAGATTAAATTAACATTTATCTATTTTTATTTTACTTCTTTATATAATTTTTTTAATAATGTGAATGATTAATTGATATTATTACAAATAATATGTTAAAAGCAAAAATGAATTATTCATATTGTTAAAAAATTATTTTTTTCTTTTAGCAAATAATTCAAAAAAAAAAATAGGATAAAGAATATTTTTACTCTTTTTTTATAATCACTTAACAGTAAAAAATTACAAATTTTAATAAAAAGAAATATGTTCAACGGTTGCAAAATGCAAGATAATGTATTTTTCAAAAATACAAAAAATTAAACAGTTAATTTTACTAAATTAAAAGGATTAAATAGTAATTTTTCTTAGAAAATTCATCGATTTGTGGAAAAGACCAAAAGATAATAGTTTAATTCTACCCCACTGGTTTTTCTTCCAAGCTTCTTTAAAATTTCAATTTAGTAACGAATAAGAATTCTACAAAAAGGCAAAAGTTGCTTCATTTCAAATCTTTGGGAGATTCACTTGTTTCTTATCTTCCAAGCACAATCTTAACATTTATTACTCCTGATTAAATAGGTGGGGCTCATCGAAACAACCAAGAAAAGACGGAAAAGGGCAAGTCACTGTTTACTTTCACAACCATTTTGTTTACGTGCAAACAATATAATAATCTTCTTCGACAAGTAAGAAAATTTGAGGCTTATCCTCACCCATGGTTCCTCGCTTTAAGGATAATCATTTTAAAATATTTCATTTTAAAATTATATCTTAAAATTTTCTAAATTTTGCTGCTTATAACGTAAAAGTGACTCAGGCGAATTTCGACAAAAGTAATCGAAAACTTAACATGACATTGTTGTGAGTTCTGCATTTCACACATGGTATCTAATGTGGAGAATAAGAATTCCAACTCAGCTACATGACTGGATTCCATGTGGACATATATGTCAACCTTTTATTTTGTCCTTAGAGGTTGTGGCTTATATGGCATATTAAATAGAAGACGTTAACAGTGATGTGGCTATAAGTTTATTTGTAAATATTGAATTTGAAAAAATACACTCCAATGTATCCTAAGCAGAATAGGATTTTACGATAATGCGTATTATTTTTTAAAATTTATATCTAACTAAAATAAAAGAAAATAAGTTGAGCATCAGGAGTTTTAGATTGAGAGAAATTAGTGAAAAAAAAGAAAATAAAATTAATAGTAAAAAAAGAATTAAATAACTGAGTCACACTATCTAACAGACTTTCTGAAAGTAGAAAATGTGATTCACAGTGTCTACTTTTTTTTTTTTTTTTACACGTCAGTTTAATAGATAGAATAGACAGGAGCATTGAAAAAGATATTATTGTTCAACGG